GTGTGGGGCGAAGCCCTTAAGGGAGGGGTCCAGGGGAGGGGCGAGGCGGAGGCGCAGGGTTGGTAATGGCCGTTTTCGGGTTTTCCTTCGGGTTTTTGCATGTTTTTCTGGTTTCCCCCCAAGACGGCCCAAGAGCGCTCCAAGAGAGGCCAAGACCGCCCAAGACGGCCCAAGAGGCCCCCAAGAGGCCCCCAAGAGGCGCCCAAGGGGCGTCCCAAGAGGGCCCCAAGATGACAACATCTTTGAACAGATGCATTTTTAGCATATATGGCTTTTCGGCTTTAACGGCGTTGGCGACGGCCCAAGAGGCCCCCCAAACCACCCCAAGACGGCCCAAGAGGCTCCCAAGATGCCCCCGAAACGGCCCAAGAGGGCCCCCAGACGGCCCAAGAGGCGCCCAAGACGGCACAAGAGGGCCCCAAGACGGCCCCAAGAGGGGGACCACGAACCGAAAAGTTTAGCCTTTCGCCCCAAGACGCTCCCAGGAGGCCCGAAGAGCCCCAAAGAAGCCCCAAGAGGCTCCCGAGAGGCCTCCCACGAGGCCACCAGGAGACCCAAGTCATTGATTTCCTGTGGGAAAAGGTGCATTTTTAGCATACACGGCTTTTCGGTTTTCACGGCGTTGAAGACGGTCCAAGAGGCCCCCAAGACCGCCCCAAGACGGCCCACGAGGCTCCCAAGAGGCCCCCCAAACGGCCCCAGAGGGCGCCAAGACGGGCCAAGAGGCGCCCAAGACGGCCCAAGATGGCCCCAAGACGGCCCCAAGAGGGGCACCACGAACCGAAAAGTCTAGCCTTTCGCCCTAAGAAGCTCCCAGGAGGCCCCAAGAGCCCCCCAAGAAGCCCCAAGAGGCTCCCAAGAGGCCCCCAAGAGCCCCCCCAAAAGGGCCCAAAAGGGCCCCAATAGGACTCCCAAGAAGGCCCAGAGATCGGTAACGCAAAAAGCTCTTCACACCAAGGCTCCCAGGAGCGAGCGGTGACGTAAACAAGCTGATAAGACCAAGGCTCCCAGCAGAGAGCGGTGACGTAACAAGTTCCTGACACACCAAGGCCCAGCCAAGGCTCAGGAACGGGCGGCAACGCAACAATCTCTGAACACCAAGGCTCCCAAGAGCGAGGGGTGCAGTAACAAGCTCTCAACGCCAAGGCTCCCAGTACGAACGGTGGTGTGAGTAATTTCTGTTTCTGTTTTTGAAGCGCTCTTTCCGTTTCCGTGCCGGCCCAAGTAACGGAAAGAGCGAGGTACGAGTGATGACGTTTATTTGGGCGAAGCCCCCAAGGGGGAGTGCAGAGGGGGGGGGTAGGGGGAGGGAATTTTGTGTTAATGGCCGTTTTCGGGTTTTCCGTAGGGTTTTTGTATGTTTTTCGGGTTCTCCCGTTTTCCGTCCCAGAAGAGCCTAAGACCGCCCAAGACAGCCCCAAGACGTCCCAAGAGGCCTCCAAGACGCCCCAAGAGGCGCCCAAGAGGCGTCCCGAAAGGGCCCCAAGAGGCTAAAATCATTTATTTTCCATAGACAAACGTGCATTTTTAGCATATACGGCTTTTCGGCTTTCACTGCGTTGACGACGGCCCAAGAGGCCCCCAAGACCGCCCCAAGACGGCCCAAGAGGCTCCCAAGAGGCCCCCAAAACGGCCCAAGAGGGCCCCAAGACGGCCCAAGAGGCGCCCACGACGGCCAAAGAGGGCCCCAAGACGGCCCCAAGAGGGGGACCAAGCACCGAAAAGTTTAGCCTTTCGCCCCAAGACTCCTCCAGGAGGCCCGAAGAACCCGCCAAGAAGCCTCAAGAGGCCCCCAAGAGGCGTTCCAAGAGGCCACCAGGAGGTCAACATCATTGATTTCCGATGGGAAAAATGTACGTTCTTAGCATACACGGCTTTTCGGCTTTCACGGCGCTGAAGACGGTCCAAGAGGCCCCCAAGACCGGCCCAAGAGGGCCCCAAGACGGCCCAAGAGGCGCCCAAGACTGCCAAAGAGGGCCCCAAGACGGCCCCAAGAGGGGGACCACGAACCGAAAAGTCTAGCCTTTCGCCCCAAGAAGCTCCCAGGAGGCCCCAAAAGCCCCCCAAGAAGCCCCAAGAGGCCCCCAAGAGGCCCCCAAGAGGCCCCCAAAGGGGCTCGAAAAGGGCCGCAATAGGACTCCCAAGAAGGCCCAGAGAAGCCAAAGGAAAAGCGATCGGTAACGCAAGAAGCTCTTCACACCAAGGCTCCCAAGAGCGAACGGTGACGTAAACAAGCTGATAAGACCAAGGCTCCCAGCAGGGAGCGGTGACGTAACAAGTTCGTGACACCAAGGCCCAGCCAAGGCTCAGGAACAGGCGGCAACGCAACAATCTCTGAACACCAAGGCTCCCAAGAGCGCGGGGTGACGTGCCAAGCTCTCAACGCCAAGGCTCCCAGTACGAACGGTGGTGTGAGTAATTTCGGTCAAGATTCTGAAGCGCTCTTTCCGTTTCTGTGCCGGGCCCAGTCTAGTGGCCTTCGGCCTATCCCGCCACCGTGCCTAGGTTGCAGCTCAGAAACTTCTTGGACGCCTGTGGGAAGCTCTTGGGAGGCCTCTAGGAGGCTTTCTGGAGGCGGTTTGGGGATGTCTTGGGGGCCTCCCGGGGACCTCTCTGGGGGACCTCTTGGGGCCTGATTTGGACCTCTTGGGGGCCTCCTGGAGCTTGTGGGAAGCCACTTGGGGGCCTGCTGGCGTTCTCGGGTGTCATCTTGGGATGGGGGGCTCGAAATCACGATTCGTGTTCCCCCGGTGGGGCCGTCAGGGGCCGTCTCGGGGTCCCTGGAGCCTTCTTGGGACTCTCTGGGCAGTCTTGGGCTGTTCTTGGAAGCCTTTTGGGCCGTCTTGGAGCGTCGGGGGTCCGAAAAGGTGAGAAGTTCCTTCAAACACCAACAACGGAAATAATTGATTTTTGCCTCTTAGAGCCCTCTGGGCGGGCCTCTTGGAGCCATCGTGAGACCTCTTGAGGCTTCTTTGGGGCCTCTTGGGCCGTCGTGAGGCCATCTTGGGCGTCTTGGGGCGCTCTTGGGCCGTCTCCTGGCGCACTTTACCTTCTGGGGCGCTTATTGGGGCACTCGTGGGGGTCCCAGGGCAAGTTTTAGGCAGTCGAAGTGTCCCACAAGCTCACGCGACACATCCCAGGACGTCCAAGAGCGTCCAAGAGCGCCCAGGAAACCGAGGTTCTGGGCGACTAAGAATGCTACAATATTTTCAACGCTTTAGACTGCATGAGCCTTGGGGCACTCCACTTCGTGCTGAAGGCAAGGTGGCGGATGATGGAAAGCGCGCGTTAGCGTGCGGTTCGTAAGTCGGAAGAAATTGGACTTGGGGGAGTTCGAGGGGGTGGCATCGCCGGGCCGGGATCGAATTGCCCTCCCGCCTCGTTTTTTATCGAGTAGGACGGCCTTCGGGGCTTAAAAACAGCGTTTCGCTCGAGACATCATCGGGAAACGCTTCTTGGGCGCTTCTTGGGCCGTCTTCCCAAGAAGCGGCCAAGACGGCGCCCAAGACGGCCCAAGACGGCCCAAGAAGCGCCCAAGACGGCCCAAGAGCGCTCCAAGAGAGCCCAAGACCGCCCAAGGCGGCCCCAAGACGTACCAAGAGGCCTCCACGACGCCCCCGGAGGCGCCCACGAGGCGTCCCAAGAGGGCCCCAAGAGGCCAAAATCATTGATTTTCTTAAGGGAAACGTGCATTTGTAGTATATACGGCTTTTCGCCTTTCATGGCGTTTCAGACGGTCCAAGAGGCCCCCAAGACCGTCCCAAGACGGCCCAAGATGTTCCCAAGAGGCCCCCAAAATAGCCCAAGAGGGCGCCAAGACGGGCCAAGAGGCGTCCAAGACTGTCCAAGAGGCCCCCAAGAGCGCCCCAAGAAGGCCCAAGAGGCCCCCAAGAAGGCCCCACAACGGCCCAAGAGGGCGCCAAGACGGCCCAAGAGGCGCCAAGACGGCCCAAGAGAGCGCCAGGAAGGCCCCAAGAAGGCCCCAAAAGGCCCCCAAGAGAGCCCAAAGACGGCCAAAGGCAGCCTAGTCCCTTCACCCCCGCAGCCCAGAAGCTCCCAGGAGGCCCCAAGAGGCCCCCGAAAAGCCCCAAAAGGTCCCCAAGAGGCACCCAAGAGGCTCCCCAAGAGCCCCCCAAGAGGCCCAAAATACTCCCAAAGGCTCTTAGCACCGCGGCTCCCAAGAGCGAGCGGTGACGTAATCGAGCTGATAAGACCAAAGCTCCTAACAGAGAGCTGCGGCGTAATAAGTTCTTGACGCCAGGGCACAGGGACAGGCGGCAACGCGTGGACAACGAGCGGTCCACGCAAGGACAAAGCGGGGTTCTGGAAAGCTGGCAGCCCAAACGCGGAAAACGCAACGCGACCCGACCGCCCCCTCCAAAACAAGAAACGCGCTCAAAGAAAGCTCCGCGACTCTCCGAGGCTGAGATAGGACAAGAGCGAGGGGAAGGGAGTCAATAAGAGGTGTAAGAGCGGACGAGCCAGCGATCTCGTGCGCTCTGACAGTAAGTGCGCTTTCCGTCCCCGTGCCAAGCAGGTCCAATGGCCTTCGACCCATCCCGCCACGTTGCCCTGGCTTGTGGGCGCACGGAGCAGTGGGAACATGGCCAGGAACACTGCGACTTTCTAGGATGGGGGCCTCTTGGGAGCCTCTTGATGGCCTCTCGAGGGGCTCTCGAGGGGCTCTTCGGGGGCCTCTGGGAGGTCTTGAGTCTATGTTGGAGGGGAGGCTAGCAGAGGTCTGGGATAGCACGCTATTTGGGCCCTCTTGGCGCCGTCTTGGAGGCCTCTCGAGCCCGTCGGGAGCCTCGGGGGCCGTCCTGTGTCGGTCCAGGTTGCTTCCTAGGAGTCCTGGACGCCCGTGGGACCGACAAGGCGAGAACGCTAAACATCTACGACGGCGTACCTAGCCTTTCCCGCCAGCTTTTGATCTCCAGGGCCGGCCCCGAGGGGGTCCCCCAAGACGGCCAAAGAGACCTCCAAGACCGCTCCAGGACGGACCCTTGGGACCACCCTTGGGGCAGGAGGAGAAGGAGGAGGAGGAGGAGGAGGAGGAGGAGGAGGAGGAGTGGGAGGAGGAGGAGGAGGAGGAGGAGGAGGAGGAGGAGGAGGAGGAGGAGGAGGAGAGGAGGAGGAGGAGGAGGAGGAGGAGGAGGAGGAGGAGGAGGAGGAGGAGGAGGAGGAGGAGGAGGAGGAGGAGAGGAGGAGGAGGAGGAGGAGGAGGAGGAGGAGGATGAGGAGGAGGAGGAGAAGGAGGAGGAGGAGGAGGAGGAGGGGTGGGGAGTCTGCGCCCCGAAGACCGCTGCGGGGCCTCGGGGAAGGTCGCGCGCTGAGCCCCAGGGAGCGCAGGGGAGCACGCGGCTGCGCGCAGAGAGACTGGCAATCGGGCTTTGGGGTCGTCTACGCGAACAGGTGACCCTCCGCCAGAGTGACCTGTGGTTTCAGTCAGGCACGTTCCCCTACAGGAGGAGAATTTCCAATAATAGTCAACCAACTCGTCTGGGGACGAGTTGTTTTTAATGTTTTTGACAATGTTTGAGCATTTTTGGACATTTTTTATTTTTCTTGCAAAATCCGCCTGTAGGAGGACATGCCCGACCCAATATCTGGTGCGGGTGCGCATGGGGTCCGCCCCGGCACTGGCCTGCGCGCCGCTCTGGCCTGGCCCTGCCGCGGCCCCCCGAGAGCCCCGCGCACCAGAGGCCACTCCTGCCTGCAGGGTCACTCCTGCGTGCAGCCGAGTGCATTGATCCAGGAGGCTCTTTCGGCTCAGGAGGGAACAAAAACACACAGACACGATCAATAGTCGATCCCGAGGAAAATATGCAAAACTATGGGAAGTGTGGGGGGGGAAGAACCCAGAAGATATAGGAATATACGGGGAATCTTGTTCTTTGTGTCTATTTATTTTCTGGTTCCTGGGCTCCTTCACGGGCCACGCGGAGAGGGCAGGGGGGAGGGAGGAAGGCTTCTTCGAAGCACCCCCTGCTTCTTAGCAGCGGCGGGCCCTGTTTGTAGATGTGAGGCCCGCGCCTTCTGAGAAGCAGCCTCCTTCTAAGCAGCCTTCCCCCCTCCCCTTCTCCCCTCTGCGCGCCGCCCGCTCATTTCTGATGGCTCAGTTCTCCAGTGTTGAGGGCCATCCAGGACCTGAGGGCAACTCCACACTCGGTGCCTGCGGCACCGTGGCGGATTCGTGGACCACAGGCGCGTGGGCCTGTTCGGCTTCTCCGCCGGCGCTTATGCGGTGGTGGAGCTCTTGAGCCACGGCTGCATCGCGCTCAGCGGCGTGGGCATAGCCGGCGTGCACGGCCACGGCCAGCACGACGTGTCCGACCTGCCGCCGGACAAGGCTCCCGGCGCCCAGCAGAAGTTCGCCGCGTTTCTCGGCCGCGTGCGCGCGCACTCTGGGGCCCCTTGGATCGAGGTCACGCACGGCACGACGGACCAGATCTCCAAGTGGTCAGAGGCCAAGGAGATCATCTCCTGCCTGGCCCAGCGGCAGGAGGAGCTCGGAATGCCAGCCGTCCACGTGAGGGAGCTGGAGCCGGATCAGCAGGACTGCAAGCCGTCCAAGAAGAAAAACAGGGATCACCACAACTACTTCCAGGCGTCGTTCTACCGCCGGGAGTTCTTGGTGGCGCTGCTCGGCGGTCCGAAACCTGCGCGTCCGATTCCAAGGAAGATCCAGGAAGTGCACTATCCAGTGGTGCTGCCGCGCACAGACGCCACCGCGCACGGGGAAGCTGCGAAGCAGTGCTGTGGCCCTCCCCCTCTTCCTCTGCTCTCACAGAACTTCCCCTCCTCGTCCTCCTCCTCCCCCTCCTCCCTCACTCCTCCTCCTCTTGCTCCCCCTCCTCCCTTCCTCCCTCCTCCTCCTCCTCCTCCTCCTCCTCCTCCTCCTACTCCTCATCCTCCTCCCTACTGCATCCCTCTCTTCTCCGACTTTGTTTTTTCGGGCTGCAGCGTCGCGCGGTCGTTGCAATGCCTCTCGGGGGATAGAGCGTGGCCTGCTGGGGAGGCCTTTCTGGAACCATCTCGAGGAGTCCCCGGAGCCTTTGGACAGCTCTTTGAGGTTCTTGGGGCTGTCTTGCCAGGGCTGAGGCCCTGGCGGGGGGGCGCCCATGGGGGTGTCTTGGGCCGTTTTGGGGGGAGTCCTGCTTGCGCGTGCCTTTGGCCAACATCCTGCTGGCGTTGCCTTGTTGCCTGGTTGGACCGTCTTGGGGCGTTGTTCGGAGGTTGATCGACCTCCTACGTTGACACGTCGATTAGCGAATTGGCTGTTTTCGGTTCGCGAGAGGGCGTCGCGGCCGTCATTTTTGCGGGTCCAGGTCCGTCGGTTTCGGTCCTAGGCCGTTTTCACTAAAGGGTGGTTTACTAAAGGGAGGTTTGTCCACCGCCGAGTTGTCGGGAAGTGTGGTATTGTGTTTGGCTTTGTTGTTCAGGAGCCTCCAGGGACCTTCCTGGGCGGCTGTGGTGCCGTCGGAGGAGACCCCAAGGTTGCCCCGAGGCTTACAGGAGGTAAATGTCAAGCATCGATATCAATTTGACATCAACATAAACTTCAAACATTAGCATCGACCATCAAATCCAACATCACGCATCAACATCAACCCGTCCAGGTGCTGCCAGAGAAACATCATCATTCAGTTTGCGTTCCGATACTTTCGGGTTTCTCTCGGCCGCGAGCGAGGGGGGGAAACGAGACGGAGAAGGCCTTCTCAGAAGGCATTGGGGCTTCTAAGAAGCCCTCGCACCTTCTGGGAGGTTTCTTGTGTCTTCGGGGAAGGCTTAGGAAACTTCTCAGAAGTCCTGGGGACTTCCGAGCCTTCTGAAAAGGCCTTCTCCTTCTCACTTCCCCCCCTCCGGGCTTGCCGCCGATTCTCGGAGCTTGCAAGGGCCTCCTGGGTCATCGGTATCGTTTAACCGATCCCCATCCCCATCTCCATCCCCTTCGAGACCCCCACCAAAGTACCACCCCAGTTGGGGATACACCCTTCGAAACCCGAAGAGGATCACCTATATCCCCATCCAGTGGGGTAGATCGGCCAGCGGGGCCCAGGCCACGCCCCGCTGGGGATGGGGATCGGTTAGACGATACTCCGAGCAGTCCGAGGGAAGCCGGGAGACCAGCACAAGACGGGCACATGCCGGCTCGGGCCGTCGCGAGGCCGTCGTAGGAAGGGCCCAGAGAGCCGGGAGGGTGCCCACCAAGGGAGGGGGGTCTGGGGAAGCCGCCACCGCAGTTTTGTCCTGGGACCGCCTTCGTTCGTCGGTGGCGGGCGAGGGGGGGAAGTGAAATGGAGAAGGCCTTCTCCGAAGGCGGTGGGGGTTTTTGGAAGCACTCCGGCCTTCTGAGAAGTTTTCCATGTCTTCGGGGAAGGCTTAGAGCACTTTTCGAAAGGCCGGGGGACTTCCGAGCCTTTTGAGACGGCCCGCCCCTTCTCGCTTCCCCCCCAGCTCGCCGCCGACAGAAGGGCCAGGGCACTGGAGCTCAAAGCGGTTTCACGTTGACCGCGCTGGGGGCCTTCAGGGGCCTCTTGGGGGGCGCTCTTGGGGCACTCTTGGTCGCCCTTGAGGCCCTCTTGGCCCCCTTTCGGGCCCTCTTGGGGCTCTCTTCGGCCATCTTGGAACCACCTTGAGGCTTCGAGAGCCCATCATGAGCGTAAAGGTGAGAATACAGACCACACTGATTGAATCCAATGCCATTTTGGTTTTGGATGGATTTTGGCCTCTCGGAGATGCTTGGGGGGGCTCTGTGGCCATTCGCAACTGTCTTGGGGCGGTCTTGGGTCTTGAGCCTTCTTGTGAGGTATGTCGGAGGCTCTCTTGAATCATGTCGCCCATCTGGAGCCATATTGACGGCCGTCTTGGAGCGTCTGGGGCCTTCTTGGAGACTTTTTGGGCCATCTTGAGCCCTCAGACGACTTGCGGCCCCCCTTGGTCGAGACCCATGGCAGGAGGCAGGGGGAGGGGTAAGCCCCTCCCCGAATAGAGGAGGAAGGGTTTTGGAAGTAAGAAGAGTCAAGAAGCGTTACTCCACCTGCGCCCAGAGGGCTGGTGGGAGTGTTGCTTCGCAGGGGGCGCAATCAGGTAAGAAAGCTGCTGGCCCGACGCATGCCAGCCGCGGCCGGAGACCGTCTGCGGATTTCGAGTGGAACAGCGAGACGGATGGTGAAGCCGGCGGAGCAGACAAGTGGAGCAGAAAGCGAAAGTGGAGCTGGTTCTCGCCCACAGACCACGCGCAGATCGTGAAGCGGTTCATCGAGATGGAGCAGAAGGGGCGAGTGGAAATTAGCATATCTGGCACGCCGTACACATTTGATACACACCGCTTCGCGGGGGACACCGCCGGGCAAGGGTCGAGTCCTTTCCTGAGTCCTGCGATTCCCTTGGGCTTCGTGGGGCCTGCAATCTTGGGGGAACGGCTCCCAGCCCCTTTGGACTTCCCCATCTTGAGGGCCCCTCTCGGGGCCCTTTTCGGGGCATCTGGGGCAGCCTAGGAGCCTCTTGGGCCGTCTGGGGGCCCCAGCGCGGATCCGAGAAATCTGCGCGGACCTCCGAGTTTTTATGTTTATGTCATTGTTCGTTCCTCTAGTCTTTGAGGCCGTCGGCGCAATTCGGGGTCATCTTGCGTTGGAGTTTCGTGAACAGTTTCTGAGCGCCAAGCACTACCCCATCAAGATATACTTCTCGTCCTCCACCTCCTCCTCCTCCTCTTCGTCCTCCTCCTCCTCGTCCTCCACCTCCTTTCTCCCATTTAACTGGTGGTGGTGGTGGTGGTGGAAAATAGGCCCATCATCTGAGCGCCAAGCACCACCCCATCATCACGCAAGCCTTCCCGGCCCACCACCCCTCCAGTCCAGCAGGGCTGGGCTCCTGGGGGAGGGCCTGGGGGAAGAACATCTACCACCATCTAATTTCAAGTCGGGCATGTCCCTCTACAGGATAATTATTCGAGAATAGTAAGCCATAGTCTGGTAACGTTGTTGTTGTTGTTGTT